CCCCCCCCCCCCCCCCCCCCCCCCCCCCCCCCCCCCCCCGCGCCACCTTCATTCGTCCTTTTTGCTCTCATCCCCACTTTATTGTAAAACTTTGCACAGAAACTCTTGCTACACAGATGAATGAGAGAGGCGGTGAAGAGACTTTCAAGCCATGTCGTGGAAGTGTTTGTCTTCATACTGTCTGACCCTCTGTCTTTTGTCAGTACTATTAAGCATAATACAAAACCTAGCTACACTTCAATACTTTCTGCATAATGTTTATTAATTAAAAATTCACACTGGACTAACCTCTACTGGAACGGCATTAGTTGGTGACAAGCCAGATTGTTATAGAGATGGGAACTCCTATGTTGTACCTCCCCAACTCTGCATATATTGTATGTTAGTAGCTCCTTGTCACTGTTCTGGGTATTTTAAGGTACATGTCAAGTTCTTTCAATTTTCCTAAATCTTATATGACACCCTCTCTCCTCCTAATATCTGGATCTGCTGCAAAAATCATGTTCTTTTAAAACTTCTTGATACACACCCTGGGATCAGTTGTGGTTCAATTTTGGTTTTTTCCTGGTGCCCACCTTACAATGTTATCATACACTGTACATTTACAATGTACAGGACATTAAAGCAAAGGAAAATAAAAATTAGGCCAAGTACAAAAATATTGAATCCCAAAATCATAGAAAATACTGTTGTTGTGTCTGTTTACAGGTTACTGGCATCAAGTGCGATCTTATGGCTCTAAGAACATGGCAGTGTCTGTTCTGTTCTCACGGCTGACAGAGTTTGATCCAGCAGGATGTGAAGGTGCCAAGCTGGATTATACTCCTTTGTCAGATGTCAACATGGTCTGGACATATCCTGGGCATGGTCCACAGACAATGGGCAATACTGATCCATTTGAATTGAAGTATGGCACCTTAACTCGTCTCTTCCATGTAGCTTTTGTTTGTTTTGTCACCCAACGCTCCTTCCCAAGAGAATAGTTACTCATTAAAGAAACCAATGATAAATGTATCAGCAAATTGATAGTGATGATAGTTTTTGTGCAAAAATTGAGTCCCTGTGATTTACGGATATTTGACAGTAGTAGCCGACAGGATTTTGGTTTGCCTAAGCCAGCCTCAGGGCAGGAAGAGGAAGGAGAGCTTGCAACTATGTCTCTGGAATTGAAAAAGTCAATGCGAAATGCTGATTGGCGAAGATGACAGTAGTAATGATGTCATTACCCTTTGTGTGTGCTTACATGTTTTTTTTCAATGTTTGTTTTCATTCGCCCTGAGTTTCGCTTTGCGCTGATTGGCAGAAATCTAACAGCTTAGTCGACAGGGAGCCACAGGGGAATTGGAGGCAGAATTCAAATTCCAGAGACACAGTTGCAAGCTCTCCTTCCTTTTCACACCCTGCCGCCAGAGTGCCCTGAAGAGCCTGCTCGCAGGCTAATGGTACAGTGTAGTGAAGCTTTTTAATATTACTATGACTGAATAAAGCTGATTTGCAAGTTTTTTGTGAAGCCTGTAGGGATTAATGACATGATAAATTTGTTTTACTGATCTTTTGTTTTAGAGAGGAGTATCTCTCTTTGATGGAATATGCTGATGATAAACGTATGGATGTTGCTCTCATTTTTAAGATGCTTACTGAGGTAAGATGATAACAAATAATGATACTAGAACTGTACAAATGTATGTGTAGTGACTCTAATTAAATATACTCCTCCATGTTTTTTTACTGGGACCACCTAGCAAAAGTCCGTCAACACGGCTGCAAGGAATGCCTTAACCCCTTAAGTCCCAAGAGTGACCAAAATCAATTTTCTCCCAACAAAATCAATACATAATCAAGGGAAAATGTTTTGAGGATTAATAAAAAAATCAGCTGATGGGAAAAGCTTTTATATACAAACAAATTCTCTTAACCAATTCATTAAGGAAACGTATGGGGGTTAGTCTGGAGAATCTGTATTTGCCTGGATATTGGGCTTAAAGGGTTACAAAACAGTAAAGTTGTCAAGTCTGACAGTAATTTGGTGGAAACTAGTAAAGATATAGATTTGTTAAGTCACTGACTTTTACATATATTTGTATTGTGGAGGCAAGTTTGTTTCCCCCATTATACAAATGTCTGTAAAATCTTGCAACTTTGTGGGACAATATCCCCGCTTGCTTTTCACATAATTTTCCTAATTTTAAGATGTTCTTTCCAGCATAAATGTCAATGGATATTCGCTTAGTGGTCTTTATCAAAGTACACAATTAGTTATTGAGATTATTGTTGAAGTTTAAAAAGCCCTATCCACACGTATCCGTTTTTGTTTGAAGACGGAAATTTTTTTCTCCAGTGAGGGGGTGCTTTCGTATTTCCATTGCTTAGCGTTTTCATATGGACGGGCGAAAACGATTCGAATATGCCAGGTGTGGACACGTATATTTTTTAAAATGGTTGGATAAAATCTCCGGTTTCAAAAATATCCGGATACGTGTGGATATGGCCTAAACGACATTTAATTTTGGTGTTAAGAGTTTATGTCATTTTTTGTAGACTGAAGTTATGGAAGAACATGAAGATGCAAGGAGAATCATGGCAGAAAATGTAAGTTGTTACAGAGTTCACACAAAGTCTTGATCCTTGAAAATGTCTTGAAAATGTTTATATTTGACAGTTTTTATTCATTGATATTTTAAAGGTGCTTAAAATAATAGACGTGGACAACAAAGGTTATGCATCTAAAGAAGACATTCAAGGAATGACGCTTGAACAGCTCAAACAAATAGCAAATGAGGTTGATGGTGATCCAGCTAACACTGAGGAATATGAGTTTGCCTTGTTTGAAATTGATTCTGTAAGGTAAGAGATACCATTTTATGGTTCAATATTCATTCTTCTTCCATTCTTCTTTCTGACTTCAGGTCTGTAGGTAGGGGTTCAAGGCTTAGCCGTCAAGTAACTTGTTTCCTTAGACAAGAAACGTTGCTCGGATCAAAGTTCTGGTAAACTGCCGACCTACCCCTCCCCTAAGCCAGCCATCATTTTGCCTTAAGTGAGTAAGTGTTAACGTTAGCTTAGGGGAGGGGTAGGTGGGAAGTTTCCCAGAATCCTAAATTGATGCCATTGCTCAACATTGCCATTGCTCAACAAATGCATGGGTAGTGGGGACATACTATTAGGGATATCCTTGTGATGGACTAGCCACCCATCCAGGGGAAACTCGCAATACTTCTAGCTGCATCATCATTTGACAAAAGAGAGGTTAAGCATCACGATTACGTCAAACGACAAACTCGAATTTGTACCACGTGAACAAGTTTCCCCTGTACTTGTCGGTTACTGTTTATTAGAGCGGTTTTCACTTGACTGTCGAAAGGGATTGGTTTTGGTTTTGGTTTTGGTTTTGGTTTTACTACGCCCTTTGGTTGGCTAGTGTATTTACTTTGGTTTTGGTTTTACGACAGTCAAGTGAAAACCGCTCTTTCTACACCTTAATTATTAGTTTCACGCAATTTTTTATCCATAAGTATTGTCTTGAGCTGTTTTTATCTGCTCATTTTCTATTTTGAGAAATTGTCAACTTGAATCTGACGTTTGCCGTATATGTGAAGCTTAAACTCTCTAATGTTCACTGTTACATACAGAATTGAATGTTAGAAAAATCAAGAACATATTAACAAAAATTCTATTAAGCAACTTTGTAAAATACTAAAATTTACTGAAATTTCTTGCTTAGCGCTTACTACTCTTTGAGCTAATGGGCTGTGATGTTTATGAAGTTCTTTTTCTCTTAACAAAACCTTTTCAGGTCAGTCTTTAAGAGAGCGATGAAGGATGGAAGTGGAAAACTTACTCTGGAAAACTTGATTAAGCGTTACGAAGTAAGAGTAATTTCATGCCTGCAGTGGCCCGATATAAGTGTTAGGGCTAATCGAGGCTGGCCGGGCGCGTTCCCCGCGCGCAGCCTGTAAAAAAAAATACTCGGCGCCTGCTACGCAGACTAATCGAGGTTAGTTGTCTAAAGATCGTGAGCTGATAGTCTGGAATTAATTGTCAGGTAGGGTGGGGGGCGAGTTGTCTGTATATCGACCAAATAGACAGGACGTCTTCCATCTAGGGACAGTACGCGCGCTCCATTGATCCATGCAATCTTTCGTGCCTTGTGGTTGAAAGTGGTTGTCTTGTGTTCAAGGGGTCCTCCACAAAACGTAAAATGAGGTACTTTCACGTAGTACTCGTGCAGCTTTGGCAAAGAAATGCTCCAAAAAGCGTGATGCGCGGTGCAAAGTTGTTTTTTTGCTAATCTAAAACCTTTCCTTTTTTTCTGTTCGCGTTGCCGTCACCGTCGTCGTTGCTATCTTAATAGAGATCTTTAGATTCTAGGACGAGAACGACCACGAGTACGAGATTTGACTTAAAGTTTTTTCGCGTATTCTCAAAACATAGACTCCCGGAAACCTTCATTTTACCATTTTTCCCGAGAAAAGTTAGCACTATTACCTTTAGTAAAGGAGGTTACACCCTCTCCAAATCGCAAAATGATTAACTTCTAACATTTGATAACTTGTTTCCGCCACTTCGACGTTCTCCCTAAAACTCGTAGTAGAATGACGACGGCTACCACGTTTTCCCGCCAAAATGACGCTTGTTCTTGCGCGAGCGCTACTTAGGATTGAGAAAATCTCGTGCTCGTTGTCGTACTCGTCTTAGAATCTAAGCTCTCTATTACGAACGAGTCGAGACTCGGTGGCAGGCAGGGTATTTTTCTAAATAAGCTATATAGGTGTTTGCTACCCCACGGGTAGGGTTTTTGATCCATTTTTGTTCTGAAAACGTGCTACCAATAAATTCACCCAAAGAGTACAGTGAACGTTTAAACCAATTTCTGAAATACAGTATTATATTACCGTTTATTTGCAGGATTTTGGTGGCTCGGCTAAGGTTGCTAGGGAACTTTTTAACATGCTCCACCCAAAAAATCCTGGGTTTGTAACAGAAGACGAACTAAAGGAACAACTTGATAATGTCTTGAAGCTGTACTTGAAGAAGAAAGATGATGACAAGTCAGGTCAGTGAACCACCTTATTTCTTTGAATTAGCGCCCGGGCGTTTTTTCATATTTCGACTAAAACCGGGGTTGTTTATCGAAAACACTGGTTGGTTTTACACAGAGATGTATCGGTATGGCATGTGTATAAAATATGGAGTATCTCATTATCCTCGATATCATTCTCGTCAATGGTATACAGATCGTCGCATTCGTCTTGTATCCCTATTATTCAAAATAGTTAGGGAGACAGTAGGGGAGGAGGGTGCTGATTCGAGATGGGCGGTTGTTTGATATTATGGCACAGGGGCGGCGGGCACTTATTCGGGAGGCGTGCGTGACAATAAAAAAGAAGTGCGTCTTACTTCGGCTACAGGCTTGCTAGAATGCAGTTCACTGCGGTGTCGTTAGTTAAAGGAACAATGCGCGACAGAAAGGAATTGTGTACCATGGCGAATAAGCACTGCCTATGGGGCTGTGCTGTGATATTTTCTATTTTGAAAGATTCCTCAGTAAAATAAAAGGTACCTTTTTAGCTGACAAGTGTCCAGATCACCCCTTTCTGAATTTTCTGAATTTACCCCTGCTGTAGACAGACTAGGATATCGTGCACCTAGTCGCCGCAAAATCTTCATGACATCGCAGCAAAAATAGCGCGAAATATCGCCTGTATAAACCTTACTAGACAGACCCATTTGCAATTGCTATATAAATCTTCGACGCTGCCCCCAGGTTTACTTAAGAACTTTGCTGACAAATCCCGTAGACGGGCATTCTCCTGTTTGTTAACGGTGCTCTAGCCTTCACAGCAGGCGTATTTGACGTATTTTGCAGTGCGAATGATCACAGTTAGTAAGTTGAAACTGAGAGAGTTGCGAAGAGTTTAACAATGATTCCAAGGGAGAGGTTGACGTGCCAAAATAGAGGAGGGGGGTGGAGGTTTTCTTTTTTACCCCGCCCCTCCTCCCTTGGATTTCAATTGCTTTCAAGTTGGCGGCCTTGGTTAATGTACCTCTTTGCTCTCGTTGAAAATAATAATAAGTAACGTTGCTCGAGTCCTGTATACAACTTGTAAATTTGTATTTTTTGTGCTGCAGGAATTTATTACGAGAAGGAGTGGTATGAGGACAAAGAAATCATGAAACAAACTATGCCTTCATCTAAACTGGATGCCATGGCAACTGATTCGGCGCACACTGAATTGTAACTGGTAACTTAGCAACACTCAGCTTCAATGAACACGCTGTCAATGAAGTTTTATACGCATCCGTTAAGATACTGTAGTGCAAGTTGTTTGAGAAAATACCGTAAAATTCCGAAAATAAGCCCGGGGCTTATATTTTTCAAAGGCTCTTTTAGAGGGGCTTATTTTTGGAGGGGCTTATCTACGGAGGGAAATTTGCGTTTCAAAATCGATTGGGCTAGCCTTATAGTTGGAAGAAAATTTACCGTTTTACTTTGTATTTGAGGGTAATTTTCCAAGTACAACAACCGGGGGGCTTATATTTGGAGGGGCGATTTAACGGAGGGATTTTTGCGTTACCGGTTTGGGGAGCTTATATTTGGAGGGGCTTATTTTCGGAATTTTACGGTAGTTCTTTTTGAGGTAAGATATGTATGAAGCTCGTTATGCTCTGGACCAAGTGAACTGACTATATTTGAGAAGTAATGAGAAGTGAGGTTTGACCGTAATTGGAACTGTTATATAAACAATAAACAATAACTGACACAAGTGACACATCTAAAGTGTTTTTAAAGAACTTGTACAACTTTAAATGAAACTTTAAAGATATTTTTATAAGACTCCGCTTAGTAAGACTTTAACTCAAAAAGCTATTAAGAAACTGTTTTGTGAGTAGTATTGAAGTCTTTCAGCTCAGGTATGGGACTTAAATATCGTGATAAATGTAATTAAAATAATTCAAAGCAAGATAAAATATGAAACAACGAAACTTTTTACGGCCAAAAAAAGTAATTTGAAAGTGTACATACTCCGTACAACGAATTCGATTTACGGCCGTTTTAGTGTTGTTTTAACCACGTTTAGAAGATGTTTTGTCAAGAAACTCAAAGCCATCTGAGTCAGGCCATTTTATGAACTACGCAATGAAAAGAGTGCGCTTATGTCACACCTCAACGACTTTAAATATTCCACTCAGCAACTGAGCCTAGTGTTTACTGTTTAAAGTCTATTTTGCACTATGGCTTAAGGTAATCATTTCACGTGAAAATTGGCCTGTACGTAAGCGTTGTTTTCTTTGTCTTTTCGATAATTGGTAAGCGCAGAACGCGAGAAGAGCGCGACCCCCTTAATCTAGTGGTCGATAAACCCGTCTGTCGTGTTCGACCATCTCTTTAGAGTAGAGATCTGTGACAAAGTTACTTTAAGGTGTGTTTACAACTGCATGGATATCTGAAGGTTTCTATAGTCTGATGTTTAAACCTTCCTGACAGTATTTTTAATGTAAGATTAGCCAAATTTTCAGTGGTTCGGATCGCGGCCTTGGTAAACAACGGCTGACCTCAACTTCTGTAGCTCGTCCTTAAGTGAAATGTATTTATTAAACACTATATTAAATATTTAAGGTATGAACGAGAAAGTGCACTATGTTACAGATACCTTTCTAAAAGAGAAGACAAAGAATAAAGATCACTTTGATGAGCGCTTTGCTTGAATAAATGTTTTTTGTATTATAATTAAAGAACTTAGTCTATTTAAAGGGAGGACCGGTCTAATATCTCCCGCCATACTGTTAATAGGAAGCTTAAGATCCGACGGCGGCGACGGCTACAAAAACGTCACTTAAATAATGCTTATCCTATCTCGTTGATTCTTAAGGACTTTTGTTCATGAAAAGAAAAAGAAAGTTGTTGTCTTCTGTTCCGGTTCTCGACAAAACGTGAAATTAGNTACAACTGCATGGATATCTGAAGGTTTCTATAGTCTGATGTTTAAACCTTCCTGACAGTATTTTTAATGTAAGATTAGCCAAATTTTCAGTGGTTCGGATCGCGGCCTTGGTAAACAACGGCTGACCTCAATTTCTGTAGCTCGTCCTTAAGTGAAATGTATTTATTAAACACTATAATTTTTTATTAAATATTTAAGGTATGAACGATAAAGTGCACTATGTTACAGATACCTTTCTAAAAGAGAAGACAAAGAATAAAGATCACTTTGATGAGCGCTTTGCTTGAATAAATGTTTTTTGTATTATAATTAAAGAACTTAGTCTATTTACAGGGAGGACCGGTCTAATGTCTCTCGCCATACTGTTGATAGGAAGCTTAAGATCCGACGACAGCGACGGCTACAAAAACGTCACTTAAATAATGCTTATCCTATCTCGTTGATTGTTAACCCTTTCACTGCCAAATGTGGCAAAAGGCAAATTTCGACCACATTTCCAAATTTCATTTTCTAAAATTTTGAGAAACAAATGGCATCATGTGAAAGTAAAGGCAGAGACCTTTCATTTGAATGGTCACATCATAGGATTTCGTCCATAGACTCAAAAGTTAGAGTCGCCTTACAAAACTCCATCAAACACTTTGGCAGTGAAAGGGTTAAGGACTTTAGTCCATGAAAAGAAAAAGAAAGTTGTTGTTTTCTGTTCACGTTCTCGACAAAACGTGAAATTAGGCACAGACTTTCAAGTTGTAAGCCTGTTGCGTGTGCGAAGTTGTTGTTTTTCTAATGTAAAGCTACTGCTTTTCTGCCTTTCTCGTGTGCCGTCGCCGTTGCAATTGTCCGTTTCGTAAACGGTCGCTGCCATTTTTTGACCTGTTATTGAGAGTGTTTCTACTATTAAAGAAAGAAAAATTAATCACAACCTTGGGTCAAACTAGGCCTCGAACTAGGACTCTTCATATCCTACCGACCCGCCAAAGTTCCGCGGAAAAATTTTAGTAAATACACTAACAAAGGTTTCTTAACTGTTACATCAATAAGAGGTGGCCCTGGCACTTTTCGTAAATTTTAACGAAATTTCAACTTGGGCTCCAACGTCGTTCTTTCTAACACTATTCTCTTGTCGAAAACTTGCATTTGTATTTTTTGCTTTTTTGTAACTTGGAATATACTACATCTATTTTAACTAAAGGCTTGGTTACTAATGGTGGTATCGACCATTAAAAATGGCAAAGACCGTTTGCGAAAGGGAAATAGGCGTCGCCGATTATGAAATAGTGATTCGTCGCCAATCCCCTTTCTTCAGGCATTCAGTTGTTTGAAGTGTTCCTACTTCCCTTCGTTCCAATGCTGTTCCCATATCGTTTTAAGTCTTCGACCCTTTGCAGAAGCTTATCAAATAAAGTGAATGAAACCACTTCCCTGTCTTAATATATAAACATTCTTCGAAAGGAGAGATTTTGTCGTGGGTTTTTCATGCATTGTAGAAAATCATAAAACGGCAAACTGATCCTTACGGCAAAGCGATGAAGAAGTCAAGAAAAGAATAAAACCTTAGGAGAACTTTGTTTTTTTTTTTAATGTCCAGCTTGATTGAAATGTAGGGAGACAGAAGTAGGATCGTTGAGTTGCTGGTGGTTCAAGATGGATCGGCGGTGTTCTCCAAGTCTATCAAGCTGGGCATTAAATCAACGACGTTCTTCTAATCCCACTTGAGCTAGCCTGCTTCGCCGCTCGCTCGCACGTTCTCGCTAAACTCGCATCGCTTGCCCAAATAGGAGAGCTTGCACGCAGGCTGCATTTGGGCTCATACGCAGCAACCGTGACGCAGTGAGAAAGGCTAGGGACGCTCATTTAATACACAAAAGGAACACATTATCTCCTCTTGGAATAAATAGATGTGACGAAGCTCGTTAGTACGACACCATCTAGTGCCCTACACCAACAACAGGTTATTGTTTTCAGTTTTTTTGTTTTGTGTTTTTCCATATTTTCAAACGCTTATTTGTATTAAACGAAGTTTTGGTTTTATCTTCTTTTTCTTTTAGCCCCTGAAGATGGTTTGCTTTCAAACCGAAATATTGGGCAAATTTGTTTAAATATATATTTTTTTGTTTTATTCTTTTGTTTTACTTCTTCATCGCCTTGCCGTAAGGATCAGTTTGCCGTTTTATGATTTTCTACAAGTTATTATTGTATTGATCCTAGCCTGCGTAGTAAGCGTTTCCGTGCGGTTTGCCCCCCGGGAACAAAGAAGGAGGAACGAGAGTCAAAGACCGCGCGAAAAATGGCGCAAGAAAAAGGGCTCTTGTTTCATTTCTCGCGCGGCCAAAACCGAGAATCCTGTTCCTCGGTCCTTCTTTGCTCCGAAACCAAACGGAAACGCTTGCCACGCAGGCTATATTGATCCAGGTCTACAACTGAAGATACGGTACCAGTTAACGGTTTGTCGCTATGGACTTGCTGACATTTTGCATGCATTGCATGCCTATAGCCCTTCGTTCTTAGCGACCGCTCACTAGTGCCCGAAAGGACACATGGGATTGATCGTGGAACATCATGGCGGCTTGAAAAGGTTTTGGAATTTTAAAAACCGTTTGACTTGAACTTTCTGGGGAGATATTTAACCATATTGTGCTAATAGAACATTTTTTCAATGCTATGTCTTCGAGCACGCACGACTTAAACCGAAAGAGGCCCGCAGATTCCGAAATCGAAGGCACTGAACCAGACGAATCTCCAGATGATCACGATAGAACGGAAGATCTTAAAATAAAAACGCTGGATGAAATTTTACAAGAAAAACGTAGACGGATAGAAAAGGAAGATGAAGGCGAAGGGGGAGCATCACAAGGAAATTCGAGAACTGCTAGTCCATTGGCTTCAGGTGGAAGGCGAGAATCGAGAACGTCTTCGAAACATGGTTCTCCAACTCAGGAAGGAGGAAGTGAAATTATTTATCAGATGAGTCCTGAACCGCAAAGCTTGTCTCCAAGTAAGTAATTAGAAATGTGTGGAAAATGTGATAAGTAGAACATGATTGTGCAGGTGGGTGTCCCGAGTAGGTGTAGTCCTCCGTAGGACTGTTGTAGACAGTGACTTATGTTTTGACAAATCTGTGCAGTAGTCATCGTCAGACTGAGGCCCTTTTCAAACATTGCACTACTGCACTACTGTCGAACTCAAATTGACTTGACCTGGCAGTTGCACGGCAATAGCACGGGAGTGGTTTCAAATGTCAAATGTAATTCAGTCACTCCAAACTCAAAATAAGCAAAACATCGCAGTCAGGCGCAGTAGAGTCAAAACACTTAAACATGTACATTTTCATTATTTATGAAGTGAGTTTGGCATGGCAATAGCGCGACATTTGAAAACGAGCCGTGCCACTGCTGTGTAGCTTGGCAGATCCTGTCTAATTTAATTGCCGTGCAGAACTAAAATTAATTCAAGGTGCTGAACTGAATGATTTTAATGATTTTGTCATTCACAGCATCATCTACAAATGGTACTCCAATAAAGGCCAAAGGGCAGATGTCTCAGGATGATGAACCTGCAGGACTTCGCATCAGACAAGGCCGGAAAACAACAGAGGAAGAAGAAGGAGAGATTGTTAGTGATCTTTCAGACTCTGAGAGCAAAAAAGTTGAAAAACGGAGAAGACATTCTTCATCAAAAAGCCATGACACTGAAGAGGTTGGCGTCATAAGAGATTCTCTCAGTGAGCAGTCAGATTCAGAGAACAAAAGGACTGAGAAGAGAAGAAAGTATTCTTCTTCAAGAACTGCTGATACTGATGACAGACAAAGAGAAAAAGACAACGTCAGTGATCCCTCAGACCCTGAAGATGTGAAATGTGATCAGAAGATAAAATATTCCTCTCCAAAATACCCTGATTCTGATTTAAAGGCTTCCAGACCATCAGAACAAACAAGGAAGGACAAAGGTAATTGTATAAAAATTATGCAATCATGCAACCAGGTATATTATGTGATTGTGTGAACTTGCAATGAAATAAATGATACATGTATGCCCTCAAAGTGGTTTGATAAACTCAGATCAAAAGGTCAAACCTACTTTTTTGCACTTAAACTGTAAGGAAAATGTTGAAAAGATAATGTAGTAACGTTTACAGCACATCTGAACATAACTATCAAACGTTTAACAAGATATAAGCAAAAAAGAGTTTTGGCAGCCATGTGGGAGGGCAAGAGTATGCCCTTCAACATGGCGGCCAATACAAATCATACTACTTTGCTGAAAAACCAAAGTGCCATAAAATATTTCCTTTAAATATATTTCCTCTCAAATTTCGGGTGTAAGATAATTTTTATGTGCTCTGTCAATTTTTGGCATCAGCAAGATTCCAACTCACTGTTTAGGAAGCATTGATCACATGGCCTCTTAGTGCAAGTGGCCTACTATATTGGCAACATGAGAATGTTGATTCATAAGGAGTTATCGTATCCCTTTAAGCCCCAATATCCACATACAAATTCTCCAAACTGATCTCTATACATTTCCTTAAAGAATGAGTTGAGAGAATTTGATAAAAGATCAAAGTATTTTCTCTTAGGTGATCATTTAATTAGTCTTCATGACCTCATCTCATGATAATGTATGGATATCGTTAGGAGAAAATTGCTGTTGGTCACTATTGGGACCTAAAGGGTTAATATTGTGGTTTTGTTCTCTGGTTTGTAGGCTCCATGACAACAAAGACAACAAAGTCAAATGAAGAGTCAAGTGAAGAAGACAGTAGTAGTGAGGAAGAGAGTGACGAGGACACGGAAACAGCGGCTGCCACCAAGAGGGTACAAAAAGAAACAAAGGAAGTAGCCGATGAGAAGAAAGTGAGCAGTGAATCAGAGTCTGAAAGTGACGATAGCAGTAGTGATGATGATGATGATGATGATGATGATGATGATGATGACGATAACGACGGCAATGCTGATGAAGAGGTGGAAGAAAAGAAGGAAAGCAGCAGCAGAATCAAAGAGCAGAAGGCAGCAAGCATTAAGTCAAGTGAAGGTAAGGATGTTGGAAAAAAGGTTACTGCAAAGACCAATGAGGAAAGTTCAAGTGAGGAGGAAGAAAGCAGTGAAGAAGAAAGTGAAGAGGAAGGTGATAGTGAAACATCAGAAGAAAGTGAAGAAGAGGAAAAGAAAACAAAATCTGCACCAAAGACTGAGAAAGTGACTGAAAAAGGCAAAGAGGATGAGATTGAAATAGAGGATCTCCATTCAGAGTTGCAGCAGCTTAAGCGACAAAGACCAACTGATGACAAATACAAGCAGAAAACTAAGACAGAGCGCCATCATCGCCGTGATGAAAGTTCATACAGGAAAAGGGAGCAGGAATCACTACATACAAGGGGTTATACATTGAGGAAAGTTTCTGATAAGGAGAAGGACTTGAAGTATGAAAGTCATAGAGAAAGAAGTCATCGGAATGACGACAGTAAGAGTAGGTCCTATGAGAAAAGCAGTTCTGAGGATAGAAGTCGTGATAAACACAAGTCAAGTGGTAATGCTAAGGATGTATCTAAAGTGAAATTAAACAGAACAGGTTCAAGAGAGAAATATTCTGAAGGGGATGTCGATAAACGAAGGAAGAGTTCAAGAAAAGATTCAGGCAAGACCAAATCTCCCGAGGAAGCATCTAGAACTGCATCTAAAGGTAAAGATCGGAAAGATCGCGGTGAAAGTAGGAAGAAAGCCACTTCGGAGAAAGTGGATAAAGACAACAGAAGCAGCTATGATGTGACTTCTAGCAAATCAAAGAAAGATGAAGGGCCATCAGTGATCCTGACTGAACGTGAGAGGCGGCAGTTCTCCAATGAAATTGTGGACATTGATAGTGAGGGTAGCAGCGATGAAGGTGAGGCTGTTGGGCCCCATTCAGATGCAGAAATGAAACAGGATCAGCTTTCTGACGGTGAGGAGGAGAAGAAAGAAGAGGCCAAACTTCCACCTTATTATCCTGCTGTTCGTGGCTGCAGAAATGTTGAGGAGTTTCAGTGGCTGAACAGAATTGAAGAGGGAACGTATGGGGTCGTCTACAGAGCAAAGGATAGGAGAACAGGTTTGGTTATTAATTTTCCTTTCTATGCCCATTTATTTTGGTACATTCATTCCTGTTGTAATTGGGTGATTTATGATATTGTTGGTGTTGAGGTATATGTTCATGTAGTGGATTGCATTAACCTTTTAAGTCCCAATAGTGACCAACATCAATTTTCTCCCAATGATATCCATACATTGTCAAGAGACTAGGTTATGAGAATTAATAAAATGATCACCTAAGAGAAAATGCTGTGATCTTTTGTCAAATTCTCTCAACTCATTCTTTAAGAAAATATATATAGATCAGTTTGGAGAATTTGTATGTGGATATTGGGGCTTAAGGGGTTAACTGATTGAACACATTAAGGATAAGGATTTACAGTATGTTCTGTACACTTCTTGAATGCAAATTATTGCCACAATGTTCATTGAAATCTTTTTGTATTTAATGTACATCTTTTGCTGTACGTTCGTAGGGTGGGTGCATGCTTCATCAGTGTTCTCAACAGATCGCGCCATTATGAGATGCGCACACTTGCGAAATGGTGCTCTTAATAAGTCCTTAAGGGCCCTTCAGTTGCAAAACTGTACTATTAAGAAGCCAATTTTGGTTGTAAATAGGTTTATTTGGGTTGTAAATAAGCATTCAATTTTTTTCTACTGCTTGGTGCTGGACTATGAGCTTTTTTAAATTTAACAATAATTATTGTTCTCCATAGTGTGACTGCATACAACAATATTCAGCTAAAACATTTGATATTATTCCAGTCTAATAAAGTAGTATTACACAAATTTTAGTTGGAAACTTCAAACTGAGTAAACACTTGTGACCCATTCTTTGTTTTAAATGGCCCAGAAACTTCAAGGCCTGGGGTCATTGGGCCGTAAATCACAAAATTCTGGTGAAAACACTGTTTTTAAAAATTAGTAACATTTAATGTCACAAGTATTACAGCCTGACATTGTGTTGTCCTGAGGGGCTTCTTGTATTGGTGCAACAACGTACACTATTCTCAAATTTGTTTCATTTCAAGGTGATATAGTTGCATTGAAGAAACTAAAGATGGAAAGAGAAAAGGAGGGATTTCCTATTACGTCTTTGCGTGAAATCAATACCCTTTTGAAAGCACAGCATCCTAACATTGTGACTGTTAGAGTAAGTGCCCTGTTAATGCCAGCCTGATTTGTGATTTTTTCAGTTTCAAGTGTAATTGTACTTCTGTTTTTTTTGTCTAACAATAACACTTTACTCCAGGAACTATTCTTTTGCTGATTAGTCCTCTAACAGCTGTCCTTTTTCTCATCACACGATGTTCCTCCCCAAAGGAATGGCTGCTGACAAGCAAACTACTACCCTGCGATCAGAGGCAACATTTTCGCTGTGTGAGCTGGCTTGCGAAAAGTAGCCTCTGCTGACAACCGTTCAATTTTCTATCGTGCATGCACGAGATTTGTCACGCGATTCACAAGCAAAATTAATCGTCAGGTCTGTCGTCAAACGACGCGAGTTTCTTGGGAATAAAAAAAAATTGTGACAACTCGGATCTGCTACGCAAGACTCACGCAAGACTCGCGCAGTGCTCTAAACTGGTCAAGAACTGGAAAAAACCCATTTTTTAAATTTTTTCATCCAGATATCTGGACGGATTTGAATGGTTGTCGGCAGAGGCTACTTTTCGCACACCAGTTCACACCGCGAAAATGTAGCCTCTGCTCACAGGGTAGCAAGCTACATTCCTTTGCGATTGTTTCATCAATTTACTGAAGTGAACAATCATCTATCAGCAAATTGGGAGTGATGCTTTTGACAATTAAAAAAGAAAATAATTTCTGTGGCATGACAAGTAACAGCTTCATAGGATACAACTGGACAGCAATATTAAGATGGCACAATTTAAAATGCAGGCTGTGATTGGATGGCATTTGAAACGATAATAATGGAACAAATAATGGAATAATGGAACTGTGATTGTGAAGAATAATGGAACTGTGATTGGTTGAAACTTTGAAAGGTGTCTGCTCAAATGTGACTAGCCGCATCTTTGAGCAAGAATTGTGTGACAAGACTTGGAACAGCTGTATACATGTAGGAGGCTACATGACCGTGTTTGCTGATAAACATATTGTAGAAATTGCAGGCATTGTTGTATGTTTGCAGGGTACATTTTCTGTTTCATTACTTTTGTGAGGTGTGGCACAAGTTTCCAAAGTTTAATGTGGTGGCAAATAATTATACTGCTTCTGTAATTTTAAATAAAATGATATTCTCATCATGTCTTGCTTCTGCAGGAAATAGTGGTGGGCAGCAATATGGACAAAATATACATTGTTATGGACTATGTTGAGCATGACCTGAAGGTTCTTATGGAACACATGACACAAGGGTTTAGAATTGGTGAGTGAGCATTCCTAGAACAACAATACTGAAACAGTCACAGGCACCCATTTTCTTGGAGACCCTTGATTATCTGCGCAGCATGTGAAATAGTATATATGTTAAGAGTCTGCCTTCTGGGTGGGTACAGTTAATTGCATACCACAATTGTTTACTGTCCATAAAAGAACAGTTGAATCCTCTAGCAATAATTGTTTGCATAGTGTTACAGAGACATCCATTAACTTTCTTAGTGTTTCAAAAGAATTATTAAAATTAATGTTAAAGAGCTTGACTACTGACAGGTTCCAATGTTGATCTCTCATTTTAATTTTTGTTTTTATCTAGGTGAAGTCAAGACACTGATGATTCAACTTCTAAGAGCTGTTGTGCATCTCCATGACAACTGGATTCTTCATCGGGATCTGAAAGCCTCTAACTTACTCCTCAGTAACAAGGGAATTCTTAAGGTTCGTTTGATTAATGAAATAATAAGGGTTTAGAAAAGAACTCTACTTTGGTCGCAAGTTGTCCATAAGACTTGACTCCTGGAGGAGTCAAGGCTGTGCCCCTAGAAACATTGCTAAAGCTGTTAAGTGCACTTCCTTCATAAGCAGTTCACTTCTTTATTTTAATTATTATTATCATTATCATTATTATTATTATTTTCGCTAGAGTTCAATAAGCTTGAAACTTGACTTAGCAAAAACACTTATTGTTTCTTTGGAATTAATTTGATAACAGGTTGGTGATTTTGGACTGGCAAGAGAGTATGGCTCTCCTCTTAAGAGCTATACACCTATTGTTGTGACACTGTGGTACAGGGCACCTGAATTACTGCTTGGCATCAAGGTACATTGTACTGTATAATTTAGTCATAGACAACATTACCTATTTCTTTTGAAGAAGCCTCTAAATTCTTCCATATTCCAAATATTCCAGGTCCAGATCCAGACAATAATATTGTCCTCTTTTTTAATTATTGAGGTAGAGGAGGCCAGCTATTATTATTTAGCAAAATCCAGGTAGTGTTCTGTTATCAATGCTGCATTCTGATTGGTTGAGCTACTACTATGCTATATGTTATATACCCCAGCAGTAGCGAAAAGGGCCGGCTTTGAAAACCAAAACAATGGCAGCTGAATCACATTTTGCTAGCTAAAGTTGTTTTGTCCTGATTTTTTTTACCGACTAGTTGGATTTGAAAACAATTAATCCTCTCGCCCTCATGGCCTCTGGGTCAATAGCCCTATTGACTCAGAGCCCATTCAGACTCGAGGAATAGTATAATAAAATAATAAAAGAATATTTATTGTTTACAGAACTCTGAGAGTATGTCTGTCCAGAAATAAAGGCTTTTGAAAAACCGATCTTACTTAGAGGTTTTTACATTTTTAACACAATGTCATATAAATGGAAGAGAGATGTGGCCCTCTCAAACCCCCCCTCCCCTCCACCCCCGACAAAAAAAATCCATCCATGCATACTATAGTTCCAAGTTGACACAAAATGCTTTCTCTTTAGCTCCAACTTTAGATCGTGAAACACAATATTATTTCAACAAGTTATATTTACCACCATTCTTCTTAGTCAAAGTAAAATACAACTCCAGGTAGTGAAAAGTAAAAAGTTACACCCAAATGGTCGAACTGAATGATATTCAAGGTCCTAGCCAGAAGGGTGTCCAGCTGTCCTATGGACGCCCATTTTTGGAAGACATGCAAGGAAAATTCACTTAATCTCTTATGATTTTATGGGAAAACACGCCTTTTTGACGGCCAGTTTTCAATGTCTGGCTAGAAGCCTGCTTGTATTGGAACCCACTGAACACGAGATTCCCCCAACAATATTACAAGTATATGGAGGACTTCATGTATGTGTACTCCACCCCTGATAATACAAAAGAGGTTGGACACCCTGTTCATCTGCACAGTAAATCATCACGTTCTTCAGAACGCATCCTAATCTGGTGCTCCTGCGGCAGAAAGGCAGAAATTTTCGAGCTATCACGGGTGACTGCCGATTAACCACCCCTATAAATTTTATCAGGGGCTTCTTGGCCCTGGACTCCTTTCAACTCGAGTGACGAATGCGGATCCGTAATTAATGATTACCTCTTATAATATCAATATATTGTATGATTATTCACTGTTTAGTGATAACAAAATTCTTTGTTGTTATAGGAATACTCAACTCCCATCGATCTGTGGTCTGTCGGTTGTATATTTGCGGAGTTGTTGACGATGAAGCCACTTTTCCCGGGCAAGTCAGAGATAGATCAGATCAACAGAATATTTAAAGTAAGACTTTGTATTAGCATTGCATAGATTAAAATTTGTTTATTATTTATTCAAAATGTTTCTCCGTTTCTGATTGGCTCAAATCACCCGGCTGATTACTCGTAACCAGCTGTGTTTCGGGTAAATCGTCTCTATTAGAGTCAAGCCACTTAGCAATAAATTTACTAGCGTCAACGCATAATAAAAAAGAAAAGGCATCACTTAATGTTGACGTGCGTCGCTCAAAAACGCCTTTGCTTAACCTCCCTGTTATCTTTTTTTTTTTCAGGAACTTGGAACTCCCAGTGACAAAATTTGGCCTGGACCACCATCTTACTCTGAACTTCCAGCTGTTAAAAAGGTTAAGAGATTTCATTGGTTTTCATCCAGGGACTAAAACTTGTATAGTTTGAGTCAGTGTTAGCTCAGTCGTAGAGCGTTTGACTGCAGAGCGGGGGGTCACGGGTTCGATTCCCGGGGCCGGACCAATACTCAGGGTCTTAAAATAACTGAGAAATGGAGGTACATGTACTCCCGTTGCAGTGCAAGCGGCCAGAGCTTCGCGTGGCTCGGATGACCACGTAAAATGACGGTCTCGTCTTTAGTAGGACAAGTTAAAATATTTTCCCCAATTAGTACTTTCCTGCTAAATACATTTATACTCAAGTAAACTGATTTTTTTTTAGTGTCACAGGAAAGAACTACTCGAAGTCTCTTTATTTGAATTGATCGCACTTGAGGATTTTATCCACGTGATCATACTCTCCCCAGTCCATCTCTACCTTCCAGTTCCAAGATGGTGGTGGTACACAAGAAATGCTGAAAAATTGCTCAACACGTTGTTCATTGAGTTGACTTGACAACTTTTACTCTTTCAGATGACTTTCACAGAGTATCCTTACAACAACTTAAGAAACAGGTTTGGCACGTATTTAACAGACAAGGGCTTCAGTTTGTTAAACAAGTAAGTGTCTCTGTGTTAATTACTTTTAGAAGTTACTGTACATATATATCATTTGTAACTTTGCAAATGACAGTCAGCGGGCTATGTCTCGCAAGTCCCGATAATCAGTAGACCTGGAAAGCTGTAGCTGTAGCCTGCGAACCGCAGACGTATTTCCGGTCGTCGCTTCTCTTCCTCCGAAAGCGGGTGAAAGTAGAGCCGAAAAAACCGGATGCTCTCGCAGGCTAGGAAAGCTGTCAAAATTAACTGGTTTGTTCAGTAGGACCAACGCTTGGATTTGAGTATATGATTTCGGGGCCCGAAAATTAGCGGGACTTTCAAGAAACGGGTCCCTTGGACCAGGCTCCTTCATGGGAAAAAATGACAAATGATAGAAAGCAATAGGCGAACCGAGCGGGAAAAGAGGCGAGCCTGACCCCGGGCTGGTCAGGCTGTGTAGAGATGAAATACATGTAATTTGCAGTGAGTGTAGTTTTCTCTTTTGTATTTTTAGGTTTCTGACGTATGATCCCAAGAAAAGGATAACGGCTGATAAAGCTCTTGAACATGAATATTTTAATGTAAGTGCTTTTTGTTGATTTCTTTGTATTGCCACTTCTTGACTAGCAAGGTTGAAGTTTTTATTTAGTTTCGGGAAGCACTCTTGCTAGGTACTAAACCTGCGGCATTTAATTCACTTGCGATATTATTAAATTCATGAATCGCGTCCAACAATCATACAACAAAAAGTCACAAAAACACAAATAGGTAAAAGCTGAACGCTGCATGTGGGAATAATCATTTTGCGTTTCACGTTGCGTTCCACAGAGATCGGTGGTGGGGCCAACTTCAAAGCGAGGCATGAATAGACACCAGTTTCCTACCGAGAGAAAGGCCATAAAACAAAAATAATAATAACAATAATAATAAAGGGCGGGAGAAGTAGTTGAAAGATGGCGTTGAAAACGGAGCAAACTTTGATAAGGGACTATTAGCATCCTAACTTTGGACGCAATTATTATACTGGAGACCATAGTGTACTAATGTGCTCCATTTGCGTTTTACCCCTCCCTCCTTAGGAGTCTCCACTTCCAGTTGACCCCTCCATGTTCCCCACGTGGCCTGCCAAGAGTGAGATGATGAAAAGGCCTAAGAAGAAGGATGTGGAACACAGTCCCCAAGCCCCGGAGGGTGGGGCTATGTTTGCAAAGCTGGTGAGTGATAAACGCGAGCCCGCAACCGTTGATGGTCTTTTCATTATCATGTAATCTTGCGTTGGTTGTTTAAACGCGACGCACCACTATTACTATACTATTTACTATGACGATTTAAGGCAACAATGTTAGAACAATGTTTAACAGTTCGAAACATCACTGCAACACTGTTGCAACGCTTTCCATTGCCCTAAAAATAGTCCTTGCGAATCGATCCGTGTGACAAAGCCTGAAAAAGTAGGGAATGTAAATTCAAGATTTTTCTCGTGTTACCAAAGAAATATTTTAAGCGCTTGCTGCTTGGAAACACTGTTGTGGTCGCCGTGTTACCAAGATTTTAAGAGATACCCTGGAAATGAGATCCGCCCTTGAGACATTTCGCTTACAAATAAGTTGCTCTCCGGCCGCAAATAGAAAGAAGGTGCTTGGGGAACAGTTGAGTAAACATTCTTATTTCTAGGACAAACGGCAAAACAAGCGGACATTGTCCTGTTAAACCCTGTTTGGACCGTAACAAAAGTTTGAAAAAGAAGAAAGAAGAAGAAGAAGCGCTAACTGCATAACCCAAATAGTTTACAGCAGGGTGGCCGAGCGGTTAGAGCGCTGGACTCGCAATTCAGAGGCTCCGACTTCAAGTCCCGCCGTGACCGCTAGCTGGATTTGTTCACGGTAGTCCCAAGCTCAAATCCTCGACCACGCTTGTAAATAGCCAGCTGGTTTGCCCCCGGCCAGTTGGGATTCTTAACCCTGTTATGTCTAGCATGAGTGCTGTAAATACTGCCAAGGGTAAATAATTATAAATTTAATTTAATTACATTTCACATCTTGTATTTCTGTTTACAGGCCGATGAAGGGGACAGTGGAACTGACAGTCAAGGATTCAGGCTTCAAACATCCAAGAAAGGTTCTGCTGCAGTCGCCGGATTCACTTTGAAGTTTTAAGCCCTGCACTTGCCTCTCAGACTGGAGAAAGACGTGATGAATGAGCGAATACGTGCAACCTTAGAACGTTTTATATTCAAATGTAAATAGCTTTCCTTGTTGGAGTAAAAATAAAGAGTTAAGTATCTACTTCATTTATGGAAACAGAAGGTGCTTTAAGGTGGCGTTTGATTGAGCGCAGTGTGGGATAAAAATAAACTGAGAATCTGGACTTAAGTCGTTTTCAGACATCGTAAAACTGGGTGGTCCATTGGACCATACTGCATATGGGTGATAGAGGAGATTTCCACCGAATATTTTAAAAAAAAACTTTGGAACTAAGGAGACTCGTGGCATAGATAGCAAATTTAGACGGTGCAGCAGCGCCCAGAATAGTCTTGGAGAGGATAACTAAACAACCAGGATAACCGTAAAGTCTTAACGTGGTTTAATTGTGACAAATTTCACGAACATGTATTTACAAAACTAAAACTATTTACAAAGGTCTTCTCTAAATTAATGAATCCAGCAGTTCAGATAGCTCTAGTAAACTCATTGTTCTGATCTCTTTCTCTACATATAATTTTTCCGTCTCCTTGAATGACAGTGAGAATTTACGCGCGAGTTCTTCTTGAAAAGACTTGTTAGTCGGTTGAAAAGATTCCTCAACGCAGACGGAAGTACACTCCTGCCCTGTAAAAAGAAAAGAATTGAACGAGTAAGTGAACCTCCTCAGCTGAGTTTACTCTTCTAGTTAAAAGGTATAGACCATTAAAGAATATTTCAGATATTTTAATGAAATTAAGAATTTTTTCATGCATCTTACATCGAACACTGTTTATATTCATATACACGGAAAGGAGCGTACATTTTGCCAGCGTGACGCTGTTAAATGTGTCGAAAATAAACTGGTTAACGAAAACAATGCGACAATGACTTATCATGGAAAGTGGTCCCACAGGGTAATAATTGCCTTAGTAAGCACATTAACTTCCGTTCCATATCCCAGTCCTCTCTCGCCTACTTGTACCTAGCCTGTTCCAGGCTCTCGGATAGTAGGGATGGCACGAGAGTGAAGGGCACGCGAACAGTTTTATTTATTTATTTATTTATTTATTTATTTTAACGTTTGCGCTTTCTCAAATCAGCGGACCCAATTATCTCGGAGTCTGGAATAGGCTAACTTGTAACCCGATTAAAAAATACCCGCCCTTCCTAGTTAATCAGACTAATGCCATGCAATGATTTTCTACCTTGTGAATTTCTGGTCTCAATGCTCCCTGGTCGTCAAGTACTTCGATTTGTTCAGCCAGCTTTAGTAGATCTCTGTTTTTTCGGGCTTGGCGCATCGAATTCACGATCCTGTCGTAAGGGATAGTAGAGTGACTTGTTGACTGTAGCAAAGATTTTCTCTCGCTTGGTAACGAATGGATTTCAGCTTGTACTTCCATTTTGACGTCTCTGTAATAAGAGAACGAGGTATCAATTAAAAGTAAAACATTGTTGAAGAAAAATGCAATGATCAGACAATTATAAAATAAAACTGACAGCTAAATTCTTTTCTCTCCTATGGGGCTTTTAATGATCAGAGATAATGAAACAAACAAATTTAAATGGAAAATAACAAGGTTAAGAATCCCAACAACTCCACTGAAGTTGAAAGAACTATGCCATGAAGTGAAATAGGGCCTGTCAAAATGATAGCGCCCCCAATGCGGTTCAGTAGCAGACTTTCTGCGATGTAGAATGACTGAAATGTATGTTATAGTTTTCACGAAAAATGAAAACTTTTCACGGGATAGTATTTTCCTAGTTAACTTTATCAAAAAGACGCCTTTCTGTACTTTGAAAACGAAAACTGGTGACAGGTAATACGTTGTGCTATTATCCGGTTTAAGATAGAGCTCTTTGTAGGATCAGCCAACTTTTGCGGCATGCACAGTTAATTTCAGGAGAGGGTCGGCCTCAAAATTCTGCAAAACTTCTCGTTTAAAAAAGATTCTTCATTTGGGGAATTAAAATAGCTCTTCAAATTTCTGTTGTTAAAATTCAAAACACTTACCGTTCTTAATTGCAATTGGTTTAAAATTCACCTATAAGTAGAATCAACTGACAAACGAGTTCGTTTTCAGCACAAAGCAAATGACCTGCGCCTTCAAGAAAACTTCTGAGGAAGTGAATAAACATTTCCAGTTGTCGTAGAGATGTGGTATGTCACAGTGGTTGTTTCCAAAGCTCGCGCGCACTTTACACGCGCGCAGTCAGTTAATTCAAGTCTCGGTCCATGGCTTCCCACGGCAAGATATAGAATGATCCAGCTTACCTGAGTATAAATTACTTAACTCCTTTCGCAAAACTAAGCGAAATAAAAGAACGGTCCCTTGTGTGACGAAATAAGCAATGTCGGTCTTAGACTTTAAGGCTTCGGTGGTATCCAGGTTCCACCCCAACCTCCCACATCAATCGTCCGCCTGCCACTGCCTTTAACATCATAATCAATTTCATTGTCAAGAGCAATTCGGCAGGATTTGAAACGAATTTTCAATGGAACAACTTGCATTTTAATGCCATTCATTAATTTCCCTAGGCTGTCAGGCCGGTAGGTTAATGCCGACCCTGAAGAAACGTACCGGGAATACAAACACATGTAAAATATCCTATCTAGTCCTAAGTCCCCCAGCTCATAGTCCAGTCCAGCCCAGTCCATCCACTCCAGTCCATCACGGACGTCTGGAGTGTTATGCAAAACGGAGACAAGATGCCCAAGGGGTGAATAGGGCTTTTTATTTGGATACAGTACTTTAACCCACACCAGGTTGCTATCTTTGATATTCTACATTGAAAATCTTCCGTAACATCAGAGAAATGTACCTTTATTTGCACAAAAGAAAAGTACAAACTTTGTGATGGCTGCAGCAGCATGCAAGAACCGTGCAGGGCGTCACGACACCCGTCATGTGATCCATATGCACCAATCATATTGCAGTACCAGCAGCACTTGAAGGGTCATTCTGCAAAATTGTCCACTCCGATCTTGCATTCTATCGGTGAACGTGGCAGTAATTGTGATCTCCCTTCTGTTCTAGGTAAATGGTCAGTCTTAACCCGTCATTTCAATGGACATGTGTCTTATAACAATAATTTTTGTGTGCAGTTAAATACTTGTTCGTACTGAAGTTAGTTGTTGATTCTTTCACAGAAAACACCCCAAAACTCGACATCAAGATGGTGAAAGTAGGAATTAATGGGTTAGTGAAAGTGTTGAATGAGCTTTGCTGCTTCTTTTTTCTATGTTTCTGTTCTTGTCCATCATCATTTGACTGTTAAAGGTAACATATTCTTGCGTTTTTATCGTAGATTTGGACGTATTGGACGCCTTGTAATGCGTGCCTCCCAGGAACATGAAGAAGTACAAGTTGTCGCAGTGAACGATCCATTTATCGATCTGGATTACATGGTTAACAATATTTTTATTATTGCTTGTGTAATTCCATTGAGGAATAATTTTATTTTATTGTGACTAACAGAACAGGATTCGTAGGCAGTTTTTTTAAACAACCAGTAAACTAAATCAATATCGTATTGTTCCAATAATGGCGGCCGCTTCCTGATAGGTCATGATACCATCTTTTGCATGAGCTCATACGTAATCGTTTGACGCACAAAAAATTAACTGTCAGATCTACGTGTTAATGAGTTTTTAATTAATGTCAGTTATTTTTAGTTTGTGGTTGCACTTTGATTTAAAATTTTGTTTCTACCTATCAGCACACGTGTAATATTTTCAGATATTTCTCAGATTTTAGCACTGATCTCCACAGTTTTTCCAGACTTTCCATGACAGGTCGTGTAGGTCACAGACTAAAAGCAAATCGAGACCTACTGATTCATGAAAAGTTCATTAATTTCTGCTGTTTTGTCAAAAAGGTGTACATGTTTAAGTACGACTCCACCCATGGAAGATTCAAGGGAACTGTTGAGGCAAAAGATGGCAAGCTTGTAATAAATGGCAAAGCAATTTTTGTCTATGCATTGAAAGACCCAAGCGCAATACCATGGAGTGAAAGTGGTGCTGAATATGTTGTTGAGTCAACTGGTGTTTTCACAACGACAGAAAAGGCCAGCGCTCACTTGAAGGGCGGGGCCAAAAGGGTCATCATTTCAGCCCCTTCAGCTGATGCTCCCATGTTTGTGATGGGAGTGAATGAGGACAAGTATGATCCAAAATCTATGACAGTTGTTAGGTATGTTGATAGATTGTGCTTTATAGAAGTTTTTTTTAGTCGTGATGGTCTTGAAGTGAGTAGTGTCACTTTTGGTGGGTGGAAGTAGTAATCAGTTATTATTCACTGAAAATAATTCTCAGTTTATAATTAGCTCAAACTGCCTGGCTAATTTTTCATAACCAGCCAACTTTGACCAAATTTGCTTGATTTGTTTTTATGCCACATTGCATCATTTTAATTCATTGATATTTTAAACTTCATAGATCAAATTATTCCCATTAATCCATCAGCATCCATCCCAATCAAAGATTCTTTTGAATTTTCAATTCTTTGACTGAAGAGCATGATATTGAAATTAAAAATAAACTCAATAATGAAAAAACCACGGTCAAAATGTATTATAACATAACTAGAATATTCACCTAATCAAATTCAATTAATAGCGCAAGCATGCTTCATACTCCCATTGAGCATGCTGATGACGTCAATAAACTATACCTCGAGTTCTTGAAAGCTTAACAATCCTCCCAAGACATCTCCTACGTGCATCCATAACTCAACAGTACAGTATGACAGGGGCGGATCCAGGATTTTTTTTAGGAGGGGGTGCACTTGTCTCTTGCTCTACTTCAACACCAATAAACCACATAGTTTTATTTTTTTCTCAGAAAACCAGTTGTATTAGCTTATCTTAGTCTTAGGGGGGGATGCACACCCCCTGCACCCTCCCCCTAGATCTGCCCCTGTATGAAGCGTTAACCATGTGTTTTATAAAGAGAACACTTTTGAATTTGTCAACCAATAGTTAAGGGGAAAGAGGTGAGTGTTGTTGTTGTTGTTATTGTCATCTCTGTGAACTGTGCAGGCTGTGGTGTGAGCAAATCACTTTTTGCACTTGGGAAGTTTGGAGAGCACTCAGGAGGGTCGAGCAACTCTTACGCTTTTTTCGTGCTCTCCAAACTTCCTGCATGCTCAATATCTCGACATACCCACGCTGACGCATGAACTAATTGTTAATTCTTCCAAGGAACACTTGACCAGTTTTAACTTTACCTCTTGCGACCTGTGACATTTTTTTTTTACCCCTAGCAATGCATCATGCACAACCAACTGCCTTGCTCCTTTAGCCAAAGTCATAAATGACAATTTTGGAATAGAAGAGGGTTTAATGACCACGATCCATGCTTACACTGCCACACAGAAGACTGTTGATGGGCCAAGTGGAAAGGTATGTGCCAAGCAAAGCTTCCAACAAAATCTGTAAGATGAGAGCTACATGTGTTAACCACATCAAAAGAGAACTTCAAAACCCCCATTTTTCTGTAGATAAGTGCAAAAGGTTGGAACACTTGGTCACAAGATGCAGTAACATGTTGCGGCAATATGTGATGTTGCAGGGGCAAAGTACTTTTTGCTTATTTCAAAAATTTTTCTGAAAATCTTGTCCCTGCAACAGAATTTTTGCCACAGACTGCAACAAGTTGCACATAATCAAACCAGTGGGCACAAAGAGATTTGTTGCTGCAAAGTGTCATGCTACTAGATGCCTGACTTGTACACAAGTAGTGCTTTTTTGGAATGACATGTCGCCTAGTGTGTTCAAACTTTAATAAGTTTTCCCCAACCATTTTAATAGCAATTTATCCAGTGTAGATTATTTGGCAAATAAATTCTGGGATATGAACCAAGGGTGGTGTTGAATATATGATGTTTGAACTTTGCTTATTTCCCCTTTTTCTCCACCCCAGAAATGGCGTGATGGCCGCGGAGCTCATCAGAATGTAATTCCAGCATCTACAGGTGCTGCTAAGGCTGTTGGGAAGGTTATCCCTGAACTGAATGGAAAGCTGACTGGTATGGCGTTCCGTGTTCCTGTTCCAGATGTGTCTGTGGTGGATCTTACCTGCAGACTCAAGAAGGGGGTAAGGCACTGCCTCACTGTATGTTGAACAGCACTTTTGGTTTTATTGTGTTGATTACCTACATGTAGTGTGATACCAGTCAGAACATTTTTTAAAATATTTCATTAGCCCTCATTGGCCAATTCCAAAAATGAATTACAGTCGAACCTCCATATATATGTGACCACCTATTAAAAACGCTAGCGTTTGCCCAGTTAAAGCCTTAGAGTTGGACCCTGTCTTAAACAACCACCTGTTGTAAGCAACTGCTACCACTTTTCGGGGATGATGGTTAAATAACTTTGTTTTCAGCGTGCAAAGAAAGTAGCGTCCAATAGCCCAGGGCTAGTGGATTTTGCTATCAGGCTAGTGAATTCTGTTTTTAACTGGCCCGATGGGCAAGTTAAGTTTTTTGAGGAATTCAAATTACAGAAGAACTGTAAGATCAATCCTGCTCATCAAACGTTTTGGGGGTTAGTTGAAATGATGTTTGGGCTAGTAATTGTTAGCTTCAGCCTGCCCGAATGGCAAGCTGTAAAAATGACTTTCTTTGCACCCTGGTTTTTTAACCTCTTTAAAGGGACCACTTGATGTTTGATGTATGCGCTATGTTGCTTATAAAAAGATCTTCTCGCGACAACTATAACTACAGACATTGCAACTTAGAAATTGCATGCAGTGAATTATCACTTATAAAGTAGATGTGATTGGACCTCTTCTCAGAAGAGACCCCCTTTGGTTTGATTCTTGTAAGTTACCAACTGTAAGCAACCACCAAATCTGCTCATTTTGGGTGGCCATTTACAATAAGTTTGACTGTAATTTTAAATATAGACTGGAAACATAAATTTTTGTTCTGAAATATTTTGGCTGAATCACACAGCCTTCAACAGTTGATAATTTGTACAAACACTGTACATGGTTTTGTAGCTGTCACAAGATCTTAGAGCAGCCATTTGACAAGAGTATGGTATTGTAGATGTTTGTTTGCTCCATTAAGAGTTAGGCCCTCAACCAAAATGTTTGAGGTTACATTATAAAAAGGTGGTAGCCAATATCCTGCATTAGAATTAAACATCCTATCTGTCTCACAGTAAACTGAGCAGACACAAAAAGGACCGTGGCAAATCCAAGATGGCCTTTAGTAACAAATGTCTATAATTGCACACCATAAATTATGTAGTTGGAAAAAAATCATACGGTCTATGGAAGCTGTGATAAAAAATAATACGATCAAACCTCTCACAATGGCCACAAGAAATTGGTCAGGTTAGAGAGGTGGCCATCATAGAAAGGTTTAAACAACAGTCAATGTATGGACAGTCTGCCAAAAAAAGTGGCTGTTGGTGGCCATTTTAGAGAGGTGGGAGCCATAAGTGGAGGTTTGACTGTATTTGATGCAAAGCCTACATTAATACAGGCTTATATTGTTAAAAACAAAACTAAAACTGAACATTGAAGCCATGCAGTGTTTTGCTTAGTGTTCTTTTCCAGCAATTTCACACCAATTTCCCATCGTACTAATTAACAAATACCTGTAAGTTACATCCCATTTTCTTGTTCATTCATTCTTTCTTTCATTTCTTTTCTGTTGTAGGCATCATATGATGAAATTAAGACAGTGATGAAGAAAGCATCAGAAGATCCAGCACTTAAAAAATACCTTGGATACACTGATGAGCAAGTTGTATCCACTGACTTCATTAGCAGCACTTATTCTTCAGTCTTTGATGCGGCGGCAGGAATTTCTCTGAATCCAAATTTTGTTAAGCTTGTAGCCTGGTAAGCAAAAGCATACACCTTAAAAGTCCTTGAATGTTCTCGAATTTAAAAATAAAAATTCAAGCTAGACCTTGAAAGAGCTTGAAAATTGCAGTCGGTGCTGGAAAGTCCTTTCAATTTTGGTAGCAACTTTATTCAACCCAGATTCTCAAGTGCTTAAAAGAAACAAATGCAGAAAGACCTTAAGGATAAAATCGCTCATGTTGTGAAAGAACTAAAAAGACATAGACTCAAGGCTCTTTTTTGCACTGAATGGAGTCAACTCCTTGAAAAATGAAAATGTGTCCTTGAAAAGTCCTTGAATTTTTGTTCGAAACAGTGTACTGTACATGCAAACCCTGGTTTTTGTACATGACTTGAGTTGGGAGCAGTTGTTGATGGGGGGGAGGGGGAGTGGGGTGCTCCTTGCTGTAGGGCTTTGAAAGTAATGACTCACTTTACTTTAAGTTGTGACGGAGTCTTAGTCAGAGTTGTATGCATACAGCTCTCTCGGGAGCTAACAAATACAGCTGAACTTTATCTGCTATGGCATCGGCAGCAGCAAACACTGTACCACCTCCTTGGTTTTTGAGTGGCGCTCCTACTTTGAAGTTAAATGTTGAGTTCTGCAATCTTCAACTTTTGATCCTTAAGATGAATGATTAATAATAAGTGCCATTTATGGTTTATAAGGGAAGCACAAAGTAGTTGTTTTTAGGTCATCTTTGATTTAACAACCTTTGAACAATCCTTTAATTACTTGATCCAGTTAGAGGGTGTGAAGATACTGTAAAATCCTGAATGCATTTTAATGTGTCATGTAGTGTTTGTATTCATACTGTCTGACCCTCTGTTAGTAATAACTTGGTTAAATAATATTATTCATAGGCAAGGTCAGCAAAATCGTTCTCAAAATTTTGTCTGTCTTTTTTCCCAGGTATGATAATGAATATATATTGATCAACCTTAGCTGAGTCATCCCTGTTATTGTGTAAGAAAATCTTCCAGGACAATGGGCATAGTTGCAGGAAATTTCACTTGATCTTGAGTTACTGCTGCTAGCTTAGACTTCCAACCACAGTTTCAGAGGTTTAAAGCTGTAGTGAAGTAAAATAGGGACTCTTTAAGATCAAGGTGCGATTTAGTAGAAAGTTTATGGTAGTGGCTTTAAGTTGCTTATATCAGGCCTAAAACATGCACTGTTTGGGCAATACAAAGGTGTCAAAACATGATGTAACTTTAACATTGTAGTGAAATCTTTGCGGTGGGCCTCATCATCAGTTCAGAAAATGACTGAAATCTGACTTATCATGTGTGGAGTGTTTGTTGTCTGCTGTTGTTCCATAGGAATAGAAAACTGGATTCGAAAAAGAAATCCAAGAAGAGTGGGATTGCTCCCGTCCTCTAGCCAACGTTCACTGAGAAGAAATGTGTTGTTGATGTTAAGATAAACAGAGCTGGAATAAAGCAATTTTCACCTGAACCATCAGTTATAATTTCTTTAATAATACTTAAATAATGCTTTGTCAGCAAAAAAAACTCTGGGTGCTCTTCGGTAATAAACATTTTGCCCCAAGTGAGACACAAATGTTAACGTTAAGTTAGGGAAGGGGTAGGTGGGCACTTTCCCAGACCTAAATTGATCCGACATATGCTATCCGCTTACCCCAGGGGTAGGACCCCCGGCCAACCAAACCGATTTGGGGCTGCGGCTGCGGCGGTTTCACTGTTACACGGAATTTTTCACGGGAACTTGAGTTCCATCTGCCGCGTTAACTCCGTCACTTAATATTTCATACTGCATCGATTCACCTTTAGAAAACTTATTTTCAATTTTAGCATTACTGGTAAAAAGCACGGTTTTCCAATGTTTGAACCAAACATATCTTAATGAAGTTTACGTAAACCCACTGAAACTTTTACTTTTCCCTGTTTAAAACCTGAACAATTCGGCGGCATTGTTCACGTTTCTGGTTTTAAATCTGAATGGCACGAAAACTTTGATGGGTTTCATAATACAACATGCGGGTTTTTGTCGCACCCAAAAGCTAAAATTACCGAGTTTGACGATCATCAGGCCAGTGAAATGAGGTTCTTTTCCATATATTTTACTATCAGTGGGGTAAAGAAAATCGTTCGTTATACTGAGGACTTTGTTATAATAGAGGTTTGTTAAATCGAGGTTCCACTGTATAAATTTTTCCCACCCCTTTTCCTCGTAACTGAAATATTGTTCTGAATATTACACTCCCAGGGGCAGAGAACCCAATTTATTCACTTGTATTCCCAGCGATATTTCTCTGGATTCCCAGGGTCCTATCCCTGGGGTAAGCCAATGAAAGGCACATAAAGTGCAATTTTTTTCATTGATTTATTGTTACAAAGATATTTTTTTTAAAAAAAAAAACATCATCAGTGGTAATTGCTCGTTTGAACGAATACCGTAAATCCTCTATTAAGGTCTCGGTAAAGGAAAACGAGATGCCCACAGAAAAAAATTCTAGTCGCGCGAGTATTTTCGCTACAAAGGCAAGTTATATATCAAATTAAAGCTAAAAGACCTAAAAAAGGGTGTGAGGAAATTTGCATATGTCTCGTATTCGCGGAATTATTGCATTTCAAACTAAAAAGTCGAATCTCGAGCGCGATTTGCGCAAAGAAACTGACATAAAATGAGTTACAAAGGGAAATCGGAAAATTCCTCACACCCTTTTTTAGGTCTTTTATCTGTCAATCAGATGCAATAAAAAAGAAATGAATATTTAACAACGCGAAAGGGCTGGAGCTTCAGCAGTAAACTCGATACCTCTGAGTTCGAGAGCAAAAAACTTAAGCGCCTTTTGAAATTCGATGAAATAAAATCTTTTATAAGGTAATTTAGTCTTTTAGCTTTAATTTGATATATAACTTGCCTTTGTAGCGAAAATACTCGCGCGACTAGAATTTTTTTCTGTGGGCACCTCGTTTTCCTTTACCGAGACCTTAAGAGGGTCTCAATGGGGTTAGCCAATAGGCGTAAAACGGCCAAAAATTAAATCGATAGCCTTAAAAATTGAACAATTTTAACCGTTAGCCGTGAATAGGATAAAAAGAGTTAACCGAAAAAAATGTTCCCTAGGTTTGTTAATTTTAAGGAAGGTGGGGTGCTAGATTCACTTAAGGACGGGCTGCGCGTTTCTTATTTCGCGGCTCTTTGACTCTGTACCTCGAACGTTAGGAAAAGCACCTTTTCAGGACTCCGGGCGCGCGGTCTCGCGCCCAAATTTCCTTTCCGTTCCCTATCGAACGCCTGACACTCTTTCATGACGAAGAGACCCACTATTTGACTTTTGACTTTTGAGGGGGGAAGAAAAAATATATCCCACAGACTGATTTCGAAGGAAAATAATTCTACGAAGGAAATACCTGGGGGAAAAAACTCCTACACTGAAAAAAAAATCTTTCGTAGCGTGTAATTCTGGAAAAAATCTTCCACCTGTAACTGTCAAAAACAAAAAACAAAAACAAAATTCTTACCCTTAGAAAGATGATTCCGTTCCCAGAAACGGTGAGTGTTCCAAAAAAAACCGTTTTTCGACGGCTGACGGTTAAATTTGAGGCCATTTGACGGCTTCACTGGCGATTAACCCCATTGAGACCCTCCTACAGTGTATATTCTATACCGGTCTACAAAGAGCATCTAGCTGCTCAAGGCACCCCACGTCAATTTTCGGAAAATATCTGTTCGGAAGACGATTTGAGATCTAGAATTTTCGGAACATTTGTTGTAAAAATTTTTGCTTGCCTAGGATTTTCGAACATCTAACCTTAAAAGGTCACCTAGAATTCACCTAGAATTTTCGGGAGTGTTTTTCCTGGCTGAAATTTCCGAAAAGGTAAGTTTTGATCCCTATAATTTTCGGATCACTAGACTTTCAGCTAGAAAATCCAACTAGATGAAAACTTTTTAGAGGATAAAGGTATGCTATATTTACTGCATAAATACTACAACAAGAACTTTATTGACTTCAGTACCAGAGTCAATCAATGCAATGACAAATGAGACAAAGTAAAATAACATTTAAGAAAGAAAGAAAGTAACAACAACTATATATTGGATATTATCATATGAGAAAAATTACTTGGATATGTACGACTTCTACGCTACTCGTATGGTAAGAAAGTTTAATTAGAGTTCGGATTTACAGCAATTTAGAATATATTCAATTCAAGAGGCACTAAGATTCATGATGTTTTAATCGCACATAGACATGATATATTAATATTAAATACTGCTTAAATACTAAAATACGTTTAGCAATTGTTTAAGTGGTTTTAAACTATATTCTCGTTGTGTACGGTCTACAAAGAACATCTGGCTGCTTTCCAACTTTCTTCAGTGCTAATTTTCGTAACGTGTTTCACAAAATTTAGGGAATCGTCCAATGTTAACTCAAACATATCCCGGAATATAGTAACTAGTGGTACGGCAGCACCTTCAGCAAACCGCCGGCATTAGGCTCTCGGGCGAGAACAACGCCTTACATTTTTCAGGGTTCAAGATCATCTGGTTTTCACGAAACCACTTACATGCACACCTCCTCGAGTTCTTTGTTGAGATTTGCATGAACTGCATGAGTAGTTCTTCTACCCGATTCGTGAGTTCTTTTCGCCTAGCGAGGGCTCATTTATAGTTTCTTCGCGAGACATCAACTTGACACTTGGCCTCTTGTCCCCCAGGGCCGAGTTGATCAAAGCTGGGTTAAGATAACCCAGGGTTAGTTCGAAATTTGAATTCAGATATGAAAGCTTAAAAAGCAAATTCAGTTCAATTCTTTTTGTCAACAATTTGATGATTGGCTACTCTAAAAAGATTAGAGAAAATTGTTCGAGAAAATGCTTTTGATGAAAAGAAAGAGAGACCCGGGTTAAAATTTAACCCTGGGTTATCGCTAATCGGCCTTCGAACAAGCCCAGGAGACACGTGACATGGCGTGATTCTGTCTTTTGTGGGTGTTGTGAGTTCTAGGTTAGGGCTAAAATCAGAGTGCGCAGGGTTTTTTTTTCCAACAGAGCTTTCTCTAGTTGTCACGCCATACTGAAGAGCTGCAATAATAGCGAAAAAGCTGCCTATGGCTACAATCCCGCTCTGTTTTGAGTTCTTTCGGTGTCTTGTTGATGTCTTGCAAAGTTGATTTCCACGTAGTACGATCAGCATTGCAGTATTCTGGTACGTTTAACTTCAACACATGATATAAAAGTCTCCTTGACAACGATAAATTTGAACAAAAAAAATTCTTTATACTTGATTATCCTTTAATTAATGCATTTTTAACAAATCGTTATACAATTCGGTTAATATATGTTATACTGAATTACCGGACCTGAAGAACCTGTTGAAAAAAAAAATGGTACTTGAGCTAAGGGCGCGGGGACAGTATTTCCAAAAACACACTAGCTAACTGACTAGCAACTGCTGGAAAGAAAATGAGAAGGTATACCGTATAACATAAAAAAACAATTTTGACACCAAAAGGTTGAACCATCTTATCAAACTACAATCGGCATTTCAATGATACTACAATAAGGTTACAAAATATATTTACAAGTTGTATGTCAGTTCAGCTAGTAATAAAAGGTCAACAGTGACAAATACCTTACGAGATCGTGTTGTTGGAAAAATTACGGTCTCTTATTCTTGATAACCAATTTGAACATTTCAACAATAATACCACTGGTAAGATCATATTATATGTTGTCAAAAAACTGGATTCGGTTGTTGCTAAAATCACACAGAGCTATCCTTCTATCAGTAAGATTTGCTGTAGACACTGGAAACTTTAACTCTCCTCTCTCACTACCTTTACTCCCAAACTTTGTAACAAACTTTCCACTTACTTCAAATAACTGAACTCTCGCGTTTTCTGCATCACAGACCATTAGCAATCCTTCTTTGTTAACTGACAAGCAACGGGGTATATTGAACTCTCCATCCTTATTTCCCGGTTTTCCAAATTTAGAAATAAACTTTCCCTCCAGATTAAACATTTTAATGGAATGATCACCAGGGTCTGAGACTATAAAATATTGACTGTATTGGATACAGTGACAGGGATCCACCAAGGAACCTGCTCCACCAAATTTACGTAAATACTTCCCACTAGAAGAGAATATCTTGATTAATTTGTTACCTTTATCAGCAACAATAATATCACCGTTACCGTTTATTGATAAACCGTGAGGGAATTTAAGCTGATTATCACGACTTCCTTGTTCACCAAACTTACTAAGAAAGTTACCATTCCTATCAAAGACTTGCACCCTGTGGTTAAAACAGTCTACCACTAAAATATTGCCATGACTATCAAAAGCGATCCCTTTAAGGAAATCAAACTGACCATTATTCTGACCCTTCGAACCAAAGGATCTTAAGCGGGTACCGTCACTACTAAACACTGAAACCCTGTGGTTACCACACTCAGTCACAGCAATTTCATCATGATCATTCACTGCCAACCCCCAGGGCCCATTAAGCATTCCAACAGACTCGCCTATTTGTCCAAATGACAGCACAGATCTGAAGCGCCTGGTTTGTACCTGAGTCTCAAGAGGACTGTCACGAATATTTGCCCCTTTATTCCCAGCAATTACTTTACTACTTTCTTTACCTTTAGCTCCTGATTGTTGCGCTTTAGGTTCCCTAAAAACAAATTCTACATTACCTATGCCCTCGCTCATGCTCAACAGGTTAATCAGTTTTTCACTCTTAGTAAAACTAAACCGAGGAATACATTCAGTGTCACGGTTTTCTTGGGTGCTCTGTTCCTGCAGGATTGTATCAAATGTTTCACTGAATCCAAGGATTTCGGTGCTGAAGCTTCGTTTCAACAGAGTTTCAGTTTGTTCAACTGCGGATTCAATTCTTTTTAATTGTTTTTCCACTTCTTCTTTTTTCTGTGAGAGAGATTCCAGTGATTTTTTGGCTTGATTATCGACTGCATCAAAAACATCTTGTTTCCTCGCATCAATGATTGCAATAATTTGGTCTACAAAAGACTGCACTTGGCTTTTTACCTCGGCTACTTTCGATTGAAATGCGATGCTTGTTTGGTTGAATTGTTCGACTTCCTTTTGTTTTTCCAGTACTTTGTCTTTCAAAGATCGAATTTTGGAGTTGATCTGTGTTTTGCGCTCATCAATAGCTTCTTGCAAGGGCATCTTACCATGACCTTCATGAAGCGTTACGGCACAAGTGTTGCAAATGGCGACTTTACAGCCCTTGCAAAAGAACTTCAACTCTTCTTTTTCATGGTGTTTCTTCTGACAAAATGCAGGTCGCTCTAAAACAGCCTTGATGTCTTGATCTTGAAAATCTTTTAGTGCTAGCGTTCTGTGTTCTTTATTTTCTCGAATAATGTTATGTCCTACAATACATTCTTCACACCAGAAGGAACAACACTGGAAGCAATATAAGGTCTGGGTACTCCGTTTGTCGCAGTTTCTGCATTTTACGTTGACTGTACTGCACTCTTTTATTGCTAAGACATCTACCAAGCTGTTTATTCGAAAATTGGTGGGAAGTTCGATTAGATTTCCACTTCCAGAAATCTGAAACTGTCTCCTGCACTCAGGGCATGTAATTTTACCACGGACTCCGCTCGTTCGTTGAATTCCGTTCAGGCAGTGAAGACAGAAACTGTGCAAACAAGGCAACTGCTTTGGATCAGTGAATGGACACATACACACAGAACAGGATACTTCATCATGAAGATTGTCCAGCAAGGTCTTTATATCCATGGAAAAGGTCGGAAACAAGGTGACTTTTTAAAAATTTGGCCTAGTTGTTGACGATCAAGGGAATGGCTTTGCTACTGAACAATGAATTCTTGTCTTGTGACCTAGACTAAACTCTGTATTATTAGCCAATCAAATAGAGTTTCTTGACGTGTTTTGATAGTTTGATGGAAGAACAAAAAAAGATCAACATCCTGTATTTCCGAGAATTGTTAATCAGCTCTTTGAAGCATGTGGTTAACTTGTCGGCAGGAGATTCCGCGCGAAAGTTGGGGACAGGAAAAAAGAGGAATGAAGGGGCTTTCTCTCCCTAATTCGTTCGGAAAAGTTTGCTAGGTAGGTTGAAGCATGGACTACCGAAATTTTGTTCACTCAACATGGCACACACGTGCACAATCCGGGGGGAGTCTGGTTGAAAAATGAATTAAATTACGAACTAATGAATATGGCTACAGCGACCGTGTTGTGGATCTTATCAAGTACCTTGCTGGCAAGGAGTGAACGCCTTGTTCCAGGCCCATCGTAACTTAAATTCCTCAAACCACCGTGTTAACGTTAGTTCAGCTTGCACCTTTTTCTTTCTTGATTATGATTCTCAAGATTAAATGGAAGTTTTTGTAACCGTTTTCTGTGGTCCAAAAGATTTTTCATGGTGGCTCCAGCCAACATGTTAAAACACTATTGATCAGCCTTAGCTGAGTCATCCCTGTTATTGTGTAAGAAAATCTTCCAGGACAATGGGCATAGTTGCAGGAAATTTCACTTGATCTTGAGTTGCTGCTGCTAGGTTAGACTTCCAACCACAGGTTCAGAGGTTTAAAGCTGTAGTGAAGTAAAACAGGGACTCTTTAAGATCAAGGTGCAATTTAGTAGAAAGTTTGTGCCAGTGGCTTTAGGTTGCTTATATCAGGCCTAAAACATGCACTGTTTGGGCAATACAAAGGTGTCAAAACATGATGTAACTTTAACATTGTAGTGAAATCTTTGCGGTGGGCCCCATCGTCAGTTCAGAAAATGACTGAAATCTGAATTATCATGTGTGGTGTGTTTGTTGTCTGCTGTTGTTCCCTAGGAATAGAAACCTGGATTGGAAAAAGAATCGAAAAAGAGTGGGATTGCTCCCATCCTGTAGCTAACGTTCACTGAGAAGAAATGTGTTGTTGATGTTAAGATAAACTGAGCTGGAATAAAGCTACTTTCATCTGAACCATCAGTTATAATTTCTTTTATAATACTTTAATAATACTTTGTCAGCAAAAGAACCTTGGTTAATACACTTCGGTAATGATTTTTTTGCCCCAAGTGAGACACAAATGTTAACGTTAAGTTAGGGGAGGGGTAGGTGGGCAGTTTCCCAGACCTAAATTGATCCGACATATGCCATCCGCAAACCCCAGGGGTAGGACCCCGGGTCAACCATCGGATTGTAAGTCACAGTGGAACCTCGATATAACGAAGGGCCAAGGGACTGGCAACATGTGTTCGGTGTAACAAGGTTTCGTTATATCGAGGTTTTTTTCCATATATTTTACTATCAGAGGGGTAAAAAAAATCGTTCATTATACTGAGGACTGTGTTATATAGAGGTTTGTTAAATCGAGGTTCCACTGTATAAATTTTTCCCACCCCTTTTACCTTTTAACTGAAATATTGTTCAGGCCCCAGTTGTTCAAAAGGTTGATAGCGCTATCCAGCGGAGAAATCTATATCCAGTGGATAATGCAATTGGTTTCCCTAATACTTGATAGTGATTTATCCAGTGGATAGCACTATCCAGCTTTTGAACAACTTGGGCCTGAATATTACACTCCCCAGGGGCAGGGAACCCAATTTATTCAATTCCCAGAGATATTTCCCTGGATTCCCCAGGGTCCTATCCCTGGGGTAAGCTAATGACAGGCACGTAAAGTGCCATTTTTTAATTGATTTATTGTTACAAAGATTTTTTTTTTTGTTTAAAAATATTGGTACCCCTTCGCTTGCTTAAGAAATATAATACGCAAAGAAGATACATTCTCGCGAAAAAACGAACATTTGCGCATACATCAGATTTAGTAACGATTTTTGCATTTTAGTCAACATTCAATAACATTTTGGGGCATTTTGTATTTATTCTTGAATTTGTGATGTAGAGTTTTCCTCATCGAACGAAAACATGATCAATGGTAATTGCTCCTTTGAACGAATATTAGAAAAGTTTGAATATATACCGAAAATATGACTTAGTTTTTTGTCGATTTGTGTCTTGTGAATCTGTTGACACTTACAGTGCAAACTGCTTACAAAGCACCCCCACATTATGGCATTCGCAAAAGGGCGTCAAACGATTTTGAAATTTCTTAACGGCATCGCCGTTTGCTGGTCTTCTCCTAGATTTTTTCAAAGCCCGTTTCCGGTTTCTGCTGGTTTGGTGGTAAGTAGGGAAGCCAGAAGACCGGGCAGATCCGGCTGAAAAAGTCACATTTTTTGACGGCTGACGGTTAAATTTAAGGCCATTTGATGGCTGCACTGATGGTGAACCCTATTGAGACCCTCCTCAGTGTATATTCTTTACGGTCTGCACAGAACATCTGGCTGCTTTCCAACTTTCTTCAGTGCTAATTTTCACAACGTGTTTTACAAAATTCAGGGAATCGTCCAATGTTAACCCAAACACATCCGAGGATATAGTAACTAGTGGTACGGCAGCACTTTCAGCAAACCGCCGGCATTAGGCTTTCGCGCGAGAACAAGTGCCTTGCATTTTTCAGGGTTCAAGATCATCTTATTTCACGAAACCACTTACACGCCTCCTCGAGTTCCTTGTTGAGATTTGCATGAACTGCATGAGCAGTTCTTCTACCCGATTCGTGAGTTCTTTTCGGCTAGCGAGGGCTCCTTTATACTTTCTTTGCGAGACATCAACTTGACACTTAGGGGAGGCAGGGCATGGGGTGGGGATTTGATTGTCTTTGTTGGCCCTGGGGTAGGGCATTTGACTGATCTTGTTCTCCCAGGGAAGGGGATATTTGAATCTTTCTTCGCCCGACGTGGAGATATTTGACTGCCGACTCGGACGAAAAAGAACTGAAACCGAACATATGTTTCCCGCTTCCACGCTTCACGCATGAGCCGTACGGTCGGGAAAGATCTGGAAATCATGGAGGCCAACGGGAACAAGAGAAAGCTGAGTGGATTTCATTGTTTTGCCTTCAAATTTCGTTTGTTTTAGCGTGTTTTTGATCAATTGAACCTCTTAAGATACTGTGGTTTCAAAGTAAACGGAAGTAAAGGGAAACCAAGTCGATTCTTGCAAGTACAATTGATCAGTGTATGGCTCATTCGCTACAATCACTGTATAAAGCTTGTAAAACTGACTTTCTTTGTACCCTTTACTAAGAATGGTATATTTAAACTTACAAAATGTGGACTTTCTCCTAAAAGGTTTCTGTATTCTACGCAGTGTAACACGGATTATGGTTAAAACGTATAATTCAGATTGCAGAGTTTTATTTGGAGATATTTTCATTGTGCCTTTCTTGGATTCTGCCTTGGGATATTTGATAGCAATGTGCAGCCCGGGGTGGGGCAATTTGGTTGCATTTGACTGGAACGATTTGCCCGTGGGCAGGAAATCTGACGGCAAATTTATGAAAAATTTCAAATCCCCACCCCATCCCCTGCCTCCCCCGCGGCCGGCTTTACATTGATAGGTGCATTAGCCTCTTGTCCTCCAGGAGACACGTGATATGGCATGATTCTGTCTTCTGTGGGTTCTAGGTCAGGGTGGTAAATCAGAATGCGCGGGTTTTTTTCAACAGAGCTTTCTCTAGTGGTTACGCCACACTGAAGAGCTGCAACAATAGCCGCGAAACAGCTGCCTATGCTACAATCCCGCTCTGTTTTGAGTTCTTTCGATGTCGTGTTGATGTCTTGCAAAGTTAATTTTCACGAGCATTGCAGTATTCTGGTACGTTTAAGCTCAACACATGACGGTCTCCTTCACTACGATAAATTTGAACAACAAAAAATCATTCTTTCTATTTGATTCTTCTTTAATGCTTTTTCAACAAATCGTTATACAATTCGGTTAGTATATGTTATAAGATCTTATAATTAACGGACCAGAAGAACCTGTTGAGAAAAAAATGGTTCTTGGCGAAGGGCGCGGGGAAAGTATTTCCAAAAGCACACTAGCTAACAACTAGCAACTGCTGGAAAGAAAATGAAAAGGTATACCGCATAACATAAAAAAACATGCAATTTTGATGCCAAAAGGTAAACCATCTAATTAAACTACAACCGGCATTTAAATGATACTACAATACATATGAAAAAAGGTTACAAATTAAAATATATTTAAAGTTGACTGTCATTTCAGCTATTATTACAGCTATGATTCTATAATTTATTGTTACATTCACAGAAGAGACTAATTACATTCGAGGGCAGCCTAATGCCCACCCCCCCCCCCCCCCCCCCTCCCCCACAACCGACAACACCACCAAACACCAACCCGCCTGTGCACGGTGGATAGAACAAGGTTTTTTAATTTTAACAACAAAACTAGCTCTATCTAATCACCCCCCCCCCCCCCCCCCCCGTAACTAGAAAAGGTCAACAGTGATAAATACCTCACGAGGTGGGGTTGTTCGAAAAATTACGGTTTCTTATTCTACAAAACCAATTTGACCTTTTCACCAATAATTATACCACTGGTAAGATCATATTATATCCTGTCAAAAACCTGGATTCGGTTGTTGTTCTTATCACACACAACTATCCTTCCATCACTAAGAATTGCTGTAGACACTGGATAATTAAACTCTCCTCTCTCACTACCTTCATTTCCAAACTTTGTAACAAACTTTCCACTCAGTTCAAATAACTGAACCCTGTGATTTCTTGCATCACAGACCATTAACAATCCTTCTTTGGTCACCGACAAGTAAAAGGGCGCATTGAACTCTCCATCCTCGTTTCCTTGTTTTCCAAATTTAGAAATAAACCTTCCCTCCAGATTAAACATTTTAATGGAATGGTCACCAAAGTCTGAGACTATAAAATGTTGACCGTGTTGGATACAGTGACTGGGATTGGCCAAAGAACCTGCTCCACCAATTTTACGTAAATACTTCCCACTAGAAGAGAATATCTTGATTAATTTGTTACCAGTATCAGCAACAATAATATCACCGTTACCGTTTATTGATAAACCTTCAGGGTTTTTAAGCTGATTATCACGACTTCCTTGTTCACCAAACTTACTAAGAAAGTTACTATTCCGATCAAAGACTTGCACCCTGTGGTTACTGTCTGCCACTACAATATTGCCATGACTATCAAAAGCGATCCCTTTTGGGTACATGAACGCACCATTATTCGGACCCTTCCTACCAAACGAATTTAAGTGGGTACCGTCACTACTAAACACTGAAACCCTGTGGTTCGATAACTCAGTCACAGCAATTTCATCACGATCATTCACTGCCACACCCCAGGGCTTTTTAAGCATTCCAACCGACTTACCTTCTTGTCCAAATGACAGCACAGATCTGAAGCGCCTGGTTAGTACCTGAGCCTCAAAAAGACTGTCACGAACATTTGCCTCTTTATTCCCCGCAATTACTTTACTACTTTCTCTACCTTTAGTTCCTGATTGTTGCGCTTTAGTTTCGCTAAAAACAAATTCTACTTTACCTATCCCCTCGCTCATGCTCAACAGGTTAATCAGTTTTTCACTTTTAGTGAAACTAAACCGAGGGATATATTCAATGTCACGGTTTTCTTCGGTGCTCTGTTCCTGTAGGATTGTATCAAATGTTTCACTGAATCCCAGGATTTCAGTGCTAAAGCTTCGTATCAACAGAGTTTCAGTTTGTTCAATTGCAGATTCAATAAGTTTCACTTGTTTATCCACGGCACTTCGTCTTTTTTCTGTGAGAGAGATTCCAGTGATGTTTTCGCTTGATTATCAATCACATCAAAAACATCTTGTTTTCTTGCTTCGATGATTGCAATAATTTGGTCTACACAAGACTGCACTTGGCTTTTTACCTCGGCTACTTTCGATTGAAATACGATGCTTTTTTGGTTGAATTGTTCGACTTCCTTTTGTTTTTCCAGTACTTTGTCTTTTAAAGATCGAATCATGGAGTTCATCTGTGTTTTGCGCTCATCAGTAGCTTCTTGTAAGGGCATCTTACCATGACCTTCATGAAGCGTCATGGCACAAGTGCTACAAATGGCGACTTTACAGCCCTTGCAAAAGAACTTCAACTCTTCTTTTTCATGGTGTTTTTTGTGACAAAATGCTGGTCGCTCTAAAACAGCCTTGATGTCTTGATCTTGAAAATCTTTTAGTGCTAGCGTTCTGTGATCTTTATTTTCTCGAATTATGTTATGTCCTACAATACATTCTTCACACCAGAAGGAACAACACTGGAAGCAATACAATGTCTGGGAGCTCCGTTTCTCGCAATTCCTGCATTTGACGTTGACTGTACTGCACTCTTTAATTGCCAAGACATCTAGCAGGCTGTTTATTCGAAAATTGGTGGGAAGCTCGCTGGGATTTCCACTTCCAGAAATCTGAAACTGTCTCCTACACTCGGGACATGTAATTTTACCACGGACGCCGCTCGTTCGTTGAATTCCGTTCAGGAATTAAGACAGAAACTGTGCAAACAAGGCAACTGCTTTGGATCAGTGAATGTGGACATACACACAGAACAGGATACTTCATCATGAAGATTGTCCAGCAAGGTCTTTATATCCATGGAAAAGGTCGGAAACAAGGTTGTTTTTTTTCAAGGGAATGGCTGTGGGAATGAACAATGAATTCTTGTCTTGTGACCCAGACTAAACTCTGTATTATCAACCAATCAAATAGAGTTTCTTGACATGTTTTGATGGCTTGACGGAAGAATAAAAAACATCCTGTATTTCCGAGAATTGTTAATCAGCTCTTTGAAGGATGGCCGATAACTTGGCGGCAAGCATTTCCGCGTGAGGTGGTCAATAAAATCGGGGCGAGAGTAAAAAAAGAGGAATGAAGGAGCTTTCTCTCCATAATTCGTTCGGAAAAGTTTGCTAGATAGGCTGGAGCATGGACAACTGAAAGTTTTAGAATACATTTATGTACACTCAACATGTTACACACGCGTACAATCCTTGGACAGATTAAACTGGGAAAGCAAGTCCCCGTTCTCTCAAAATTAGGAACCGTGCGAAAAAGCCACGCGAAAGCCAAAACGCGCCATGATTTCGGCATCCATTAGAGCGGTTTTCACTTGACTGTCGTAAAACCAAAACCAAAGTAAATACACTAGCCAACCAAAGGGCGTAGTAAAACCAAAACCAAACCAATTCCTCAATTACTTTCGACAGTCAAGTGAAAACCGCTCTATTGTACAGGAGAGAGGACGGATTAATTTTCCGTCTATTTTGTCCAAGAATGTGGTCGTTAATCTGTGTGTTTCCAGTAAGTAAATTAATCAACCTTCGGCCAAGTTATCCCCGATTTATATTGCGCAACAAAATTAAACCCTCCAGAAAAATGGCAGTTGCAGAAAATATTTATCAAATCTGAGGGAAATGTTTCCGTTCTCATACCTATAAGTTCGCTAAGAGGAAAAAATGCAGTTAATGTTACGATAAAACTGAACTGGAGTAAACAGTCTTCCTTCTGAATTGTCAGTTGTTATTTTTTACGGACACTTCGGCAAAGTGCTCTCTTTCAAATGATTTTTTGTAGGAATTTAAATTAGTATTATTATAGTACGAGTCAAGAATTGAGATATTTCATTCTCATTTGTTTTTATCAAGTCTTAAGGTCCTTAAGACGGGCGGGCCTCGTTTTTTAACAAATATGGTGAGGATTCGGGGACAAGATTTTCATTTTTTTTCCCCTTTGTTTAAGTAAACACTTTGTATTGAAAATCTCAAAAGAGTTATGGATTCACAAGGTATAAAACTAATAAAGTCAGCTTCCTTTTTTCAAACTTTTACAATGTTCTGTTAAAGGAGAAACGCTCAGTCAGTGATCATATTTTCGTAGTGACGAGGTAAATCTATATGATTACGTAACATTCATTTTAATAGTTAAACTATTCCATCAGCCTCAGTCGGTAAACTCTTTTCCTTAATGGTCTTTGACCAGGCTCACTTCTTTTGACTGGCGGCGGTAGAGGACTCGACCAAACTAAGAGCGCGATTGAAGTCTTCGAGGTGTAGTGTAATTATCCAGGGCAGTTGATCCTGAAAGGAATTGAAACCCGTCAAATTGATCAAATGCTGTAAATTTAATATACAAGAAATTTATTAACTCGTACGAGACGATCCTTATTAACACACTTCCAATTCCATGATGGTGATACAACCTTGGTCGATCCTTGTTCCTTTTGTCCATCCTAAAAGAGAAAGAGCAGACACGATAAGAACAGCGGGCATTGGCTACATCATTAATATCAATAAAAATATTTTAGCTTATGACCTCTAAAGCCTTGTTTCCAATGTCAAAAAGAAAGAACAGAGTCTATTCCCCAACTGTCATATTTCCGATAATACATCTTATTTGCCCGACACTATTTTTTATGAATCATGATGGACAATAATGTAATTTTTGATAATCTTATTAGCATAAATCACTATTTTGCCGGCACGAATCAGAGGGCTCGGGACGAGTGCTAAGCGGGGATAGGGTTTTGGGATTGTAGTTTGTATTGTGAGGCCGTTAGGAGGGTGGGGCATTCTACTGCTAGCCTTCGCCGCGTTTAGTTGTCTATCAGGTTTCGGCGTCTTTGTTTTAATTTTCCAAGTATTGTTATGTAGACACCAGGTTTTGCTTTTGTAGGAGGTCAGATCCTTCTTTAATTTTTGTCTTTTTGTGCATGCTAGGTTTTACATATTATACCTTAAAACCCCGAGAGTAGCACCACTGCCTTTGTAGGGGGTGCCCGTTCCCTCCTTTTCCCACCTGCTGGTTTTTTGGGGTCTTCGTGCCCGGCTGTGGAGCATTTAATTTTACTTAACGGTAAAGGACATAGTAAGTATATTGAAGCTTTATAAACGGACGGTGGCTTGGCTGGCCAACGCGCCCATCATGATATTATCTTTTTGTGTGCACGGTTGAGCAGTGGAGGCAAAATTATGTGAACTGCGGTAGCGCGTAGAAACAGACGGATCGTGCATGTTTTGGCCAGGGTGCTTTCATTGTTATACATAACTTTATTTTGACTTTGTTTTGTTTTGTTTTTTTTACTTTTTTTAACCTTTCTAATTACTTGTGAGTTTAAACACGCTTGCATTTTAGGTTTCTTCCTTCTTCCTTCTTTGCAAATATTTCTTCTTCCGTTTCTCTGTCTTTCTTTCTTTCCTTCTTTCTTTTTTAGTCTCATTTCTTTTTTGGCAATTTGTCTTCTCGTTTTTAGTCCGGTCCAATAAAGGCCTACAAAAACTTGTAAATAAAAACCTGACTCTTCACAGCCTTGTATTTTAACACAAAAAGTAAAAGTGCGCAAAATATTTTTCATCTTCTTACCCTATTGTTGCTTACAACATGTGTTGCACTAGACTTTCAAATTCCTCCGCCAAATCTCCGTCATAACTATTCAGTCATGTTAAGAATGGTTAAAAACCGGATTGTCCTGTTTTATAGATCAAAGCTTATGATAGTATAGCGCAGCAGATAAAAAGCTCGGGAAAAATTGCAAAAGCGGTGCTTATGCTGCGTTTCTTTGCAAATATTCTGAATTCACATTCATTGGTACCAATGGAGACCGTTCTTATCACCACTAACACCGATGGAGTCTATTTGTGAGTATTGGACAACCCTCAAATGTTTGAGGTTACATTATAAAATGTCGGTAGCCTATATCCTGCATTAGAATTAAACATCCTATCTGTCTCACAGTAAACTGAGCAGACACAAAAAGGACCATGGCAAATCCAAGATGGCCTTTAGTAACAAATGTCTATAATTACACACCATAAATTATCTAGTTGGAAAAAAATCATACGGTCTATGGAAGCTATGATAAAGAGAATAATACGATCAAACCTCTCACAATGGCCACAAGAAATTCGTCAGTGTAGAGAGGTGACCATCGTAGAGAGGTTTAAACAAGAGTCAATGTATGGACAGTCTACTAAAAAACGTGGCTGTTGTAAAGTGGTGGCCATTATAGACAGCTGCTGCTAAGCCAACATTTATTCAGGCTTACATTGTTAAAAACAAAATTAAAACTGAACATTCAAGCCATTCAGTGTTTTGCTTAGTGTTCTTCTGTAGCAACTTCGCACCAATTTTCCATTGTACTAATTGACTAATAAGTTACATCCCATTTTCTTGTTCATTCATTCTTTCTTTCATTTCTTTTCTGTTGTAGGCATCATATGATGAAATTAAGGCAGTGATGAAGAAAGCATCAGAAGATCCAGCACTTAAAAAATACCTTGGATACACTGATGAACAAGTTGTATCCACTGACTTCATTAGCAGCACTTATTCTTCAGTCTTTAATGCGGCAGCTGGAATTTCTCTGAATCCAAATTTTGTTAAGCTTGTAGCCTGGTAAGCAAAAAGCATGCACCTTAAAAGTCCTTGAATTTTCAAATAAAAATCCAAGCTAGGCCTTGAAAGACCTTGAAAATTGCAGTTGGTGCTGGAAAGTCCTTTCAATTTTGGTAGTAACTTTATCTGACCAGATTCTCAAG